GGGCAGCCCCCCCCCCCCCCCCCCCGCAAAGTGCCCAGCCCCGAGCTCTCCCTGGGCTGACGCGTCAGCCCCCCCTTGCCCTCCCCACCTCCCTGTATCACGCTAATTAATTCCTCCAGTAGCACAAATAATTCAGCCAGAGGATTTTTTCCACTTGTGCCCCGCTGGAAAGCATCCATGGAGGGGTTCATGGAGGTGCATGGGGTGCCTGGATGTCCTTCAGGGCCACCTCTGCATCTCCACATCCTGCTCACAGCCTCCACTACTGCCCCAAGCTGGGCAGTCCTCAGCCCTGGGGTGCTTTTCTGGCTGCTCTGGGCTGGGGGAGCATCCTCAAGGGACCCCACCCCTGGCCATGCTCCCAGCCCCAAAGCCAACCCCTAGGATGGAGGTGGGGACGGGGACCAGGTTTCAGGTCCCCCGGGGCTGTGGTTTGCCCAGAGTCGGTCCCTGCCCTCCAGCCAGGTCCTTCCTCTCCTCCAGCCCCAGGGAAAAACATCAGAGTGGAAAAACAGGAGAGCGTCTGATATTGTTCCCTCCATCACATGCGAAGGCAAAGCCAGAGAGGCCAGGAAAAAAATCTTCAACAATTGGTTTTGGCAAGAAGAGGCAAACCAGAGCTTTTCATGATTTTTTTTTTTTGGTTGTTGCTAGAAAGGTTGCTTTTCCTCCAGCGAGGGCTTAAGGATGGCTTCTCACCATCTCCATCCCTAAACCATCTCCCCAAGATGGTGCAAACCCGGCCCAAATTTAGGAAAACCCATTGGGGTGTCGCAGGATCAGGCCCCCAGATCCCTGGGAGCTGCAGTTGGGTGTGCTGGGGGTCTGCACCCTGTTGTGCCCCACAGCTTGGACCTCCCGTAGGGACTTTGCCGCCACAGGTGCAGGTTGAGGTGTCCCACGTTGGCATGGGGCGGTGGGGGCAGACTGAGACATCTCCCCAGGGATTTGGGGTTCCCTGAGCCCCCAGTGCTGGCTGGGGTGTCCCACACCCTGCAGGGATGTGCTTCATCCCTGCAGCTCCTGCCTTGCAAACGCAGCAGCCACATCCAGCCAAAAGCCACCCTGGCTGAAGTATGCCCTTAGAGGGGCCAGCAACCCCCCAGCTGTACTGGCTACTACCTTGCAATGCCCCAGCTGAAACCGGGGGGAAGAAGTCATCCAGAGCAGGAAGAAAAATAAAACCCAGCCCCAAAAGCAAGCAGGCAGCCCCAGATGCCTCTGGGCACCCTGAAACGCCTCTGGGGCGCCCCCAAACGCCTCCGTGCACCCCCAGATGCCTCCAGGCAGCCCCTCAGGTGTGTTTCCACAGCACAAGCCTCCCACAAAGCACAGGCATCCCCAACACCCTCCAACCCAAACCCCATGAGACCCCCTGACCCTGCTGCAGGATCAGGTCCCTGCACAGCACCAGTCTGCAGCAAATGAGGCTGGGGGGATTGGGCTGTGCCTGGGTTCTGCCCCCCTGGAAATCATTGCCCCAGGCTGGGTGCTACAGGGTTACTGCCTTCCTGGTCTCCTCTGTGGGGGCCGGGGGCAGTTCAGGCCCCCCCAAGAAGCATTTACCCCCCCAGGGCTGGCAGCCCCCGTGCCCATGGGTGAAGGCTGCAGGAGCAAACCTCCCCCTCCCCAGACGCCCTTTTTCTTGGGGTTTTTGGCAGGGCTGGGAGGGTGCTCCCCGTTTGCAGGGGGGGGTTTCTTTGCTGGGGGTGTCTGAAGGGATGGGCATCGGGTGGGCACCCCACTGGAGCCCCCCTGCAGCCACAGCTCGTGATGGTACGGGGTGGGGAGCGCAGTGAATTGGGGGTGCAGGGACACTCCAGGATGGGCAGAGAAAGAGCTTCACCGCATCTTTGCAGAAATGAAAAAGAAATTAAGAAGAAGAGGAAAAGGCAGTGTTTTGCAAAAAAAAGGGTTAAAGCAGCGCGGAGAAGAGGTGAAGGCCGAGGGCTGGCGGAAAGGGGAGGGGGAAGAGAGGGGGAGGAGGGAGGTTGGGGAGAGGGAGCGCGGCTATGCGAGAACATCCTGTACCCTCCTGGTAAAAACAGCCCAGGCGGGGGGGAGGGGGA